TCACTTATAGAGTGACGACTATTTCGCAGGTGCTCCTTGACGACGCAGTGAGCGAGTGAACGCCTGCGCTTATCAGGAGGAACCCAGCCGGTGGGGGGGGGGACTGCGCGGGAGGGATGGAGGACGCAGGAGGACAGGCCGACACCCGGCCTCGCTTCTTCAGCGACCGACGACGGTCGGGCACGAAGAAGCCGGCGGCGACGCCGGCGAGTTTTTAACCCTGCTTCACGAGCCGACGCAGGGCGATCGACGCTGGCGAGTTTTTAACCCGTTCGTTTGAAGCCGCCCACGACGCCGCCACGACGCCGCAGCGGCCAGCCGCAGGCCGCAAGCCGCAGCCCGCCCCGCCCCCCATCGGCACAGACAGCGAGAGCGAGTAGAAGCCTTCTTCACCGTTCCCACAAACGCGCGAGAGGCGGACAGCAAATCGATGAAGAGATTCCGGGAGTGAGGAGGAGGGGAGCAGGAGGACGGTGTGTCAGACAGGCGGGTCGTTGAGTTGCGCCCCTTCCCGACAATACGCGATGTTATCAGTGATGAGTGAGAGCCGCAAGACTTCGCGAAGAGGTCGGTGTTCCTAATCGTCCGGCGTGAGCTAGAGAGAAGAAGAGAGTTAGAAAAGAGCAGAGGAGGAAAGCAGTGCCGATCACACACACACGCGAGGCGCAGTGCGCACGCACGCACGCACCGCACGCTACGCACAGCACACACACACACACAACAACACATCACACACACAGATAGAGCGTCGAGAAACTCGGACAGCGAGAGAGGAAGAAAGTAGAGAGCGCTGCGCGCAGAGAGAGAGAGGAGAGAGAGATGAGAGAGAAGAGAAAGAGAGAGGAGAGTGTTGAGAGAGAGAGAGAGGAGACGTGAGGGTGGCGAGAGTGTGTTACGTGCAGGGAGAGCTGCGTGGAGAAATGCAGCTTCCCATGTTACCGCTACATTGCAATACATGCCCACAAACAGTACACCCTCGATAATAAAAAGGTTAGCATTAACGAAATAAATACTACTCAAGAGTCGTAATAGAAATGGCATGGAATTTTCTATTATGGACTCTATATAGTATCAATATAATTTACCAAGTTCAATAATGTAGATACATGTATTCATAACATCGAGCAGTAATAATATAGGCAATATCCGCCACGACAGTATCATTCACCTAATATATATTAATGTAGCAACGTTCGTCTGTTTCTTTGTTAGATTCCAAATAGGGGTCAGGTCGTGCGTAGGAGGAGCGCCCGCGATCGCAGCCACGAGGCGTCCATTTTAACCGTTTCTTGTGCGATGAGCACAACACTGATGAGCTCAGTCGAATTCAACGTACGGACAGCCAGCAGCAGAGCTTCCCGCGTTCGTGATCGCCGAAAAGGATTGCCTTAACCCTTACGACGACTATACACAGGTGGACATCTTGCACGAACTTCCAGAAAACGCGATGCTAATCGTTAAATCGAGGCAGGCAATATAGATAGGCGAAGTGTGTATGGTGTCGACGTGCCGAGGGTTGAGTCACAACTTTACACACTTCACACTTGTACGATATTACAGCCGCTTCTACGTAGCAATCTATGACAAATAAGGACAATACGCATATACGCTTCTCCTATGACAACTATTTGTCATAGGAAGATTCTTCCTGATGAAAATATTGTTGTATGTGTTGTGCGCATCGTAGGGTTTAGGCAGCGATATTATGAATGCAAGCAGTGAATTATCTGCTGTAAAGCGGTAACGAAGTTTATCGCCAAATATTTGGCATAAGAAGATCTTCCTATGACAAATAATAGTGTTCATAGGAGAGCGTATATGCGCCCAGGTCGATTTGTCATAGATGCTAGCAGCAACATGTTGCAATTACGTATGTATACCCCCCCCCACCAGATATACATGTGCCATACAGCGCGTAATTAAGAAGGGCTTAATTACCTTCTTAATACGCTCTTGCAGTGCATATGATAACGTGCGCATGGCATATTACGACAGGGACCCCAAATCGTTACAATACAATCGCAAGCATCTATATGACGCACGCGTGAACGATAACCCGGTAGGTACGAGACCTTCCTTCTCGGAGAAGGTACAAATGCGACAGCTACGTTACGTATGTGTTACCGTTGCGCGGCGGGGTTAGAGAGAGTAAGATCCCGACGAACCAGCGAACGGGCGAAGTTGGATCATCAGCGTCCCTAGCTGACAAATGCGGAGGGCGGACGGTCGGCGGTGGTCCGTCAGGTTCGGTCAATGACTGAACTCGTCGAAGTATCGCTCGCCGACGGGGCCGGGAACCCATCCAGAACATTTCCGCAGGCGGCCGCGACGCCGCGCTTCTATCCGAGTGAAGTTTACGGCATCAGCCGTCCCCTCAGGCTACGTAACATCCCGTGTTGTGCTTGTTTGTTTATTTATTTGTAGTTGGTTGCTTTTATTATTATTATTATTATTAATGTTCATTATTATTGTTTTTGTTTTTTCGTCGCGTGCTGCTCTCTTACTGATTACGGTGTCGTTATTATTTTTTCATTATCTTCGCTTCTTGTTATTTTACCTAACTTTGCAAATGTTATTGCAAAGCCATATCTATAGCTAAGTCGTGCGAATTCGTTTCCAAGTATCGATGTTCAAGTGCGATATTGACAGAGAGAACATGCGTGTTGCCTTTGAGATTTGACCATCGTTTTGGAGGCCTTGCATTTACCAAAGGCTATTTCAAGGGCGACCGCCTGCCAAAAGGGAAAAAACGCTGGGTAACTTTGGCGCGAATTCGCCTCATTTCAACTACGCTCTAGATGGATCGGCACTGATAGGTTTTCGCGATGTTCTTATACACGCCTTAATGCTATAATATTTGTGCGCTTGTGGATTGTAATACGCCGATTACAACAAGAGTATTGGTTTCGATCACAGATATGGTGGTTATAGATCTATTCGACAAGAAGGGATATGAATACGCGAAGTGGATTGCTTCACACGCGAACGTATTCTTTTTTTCTTTCATCCTTTCACCCCTTCTTCTTCTTCTTCTTCTTCTTTCTTTGTCGTAGTCTCTCGC